GAAAAAAAAGATCTAGCTGTAGATGTCCCTGTTCATTGCAGAGGAGTAGGGCTAGATGACCTTTAAAGGTCTCTTCCAACTCAAATGATTCTATGATTCTATGATGATGGCATTAAATGTCGAGGAGAGCCAAAAGCCTAACTTGTAGGGATAGAAAGTAGAGATAAAGTCAAAGAGATGAAGCTGTGAAAAATAGATCCACAGCAAGTAATTTATGGAATTTCTCAACTGGTCAGAGCACTGAAATAAAGATCTCCATCACTAGTGCCATGGGATCTCTGTGGCTATTTTATGTGTTATTGAAAAGCTCTTCAATCTTGCAGCATAGAGTAAGGTTTATCTTGCCTAATTTCTGGTTAAGGACCCAGTCTCACCCTAATGCCTGTATTCCTTGCTTAATTACTGAATTACAGTGATTTAATTGTTAGGTATGCATCAGTTACAGAAGGCAGTTAAGTTTCATTTAGCACAGGATGATAAACTTACAAAAGATTTGGCATGGTTTGTAGGCCAAAACACAAGCACATCAAGGAATTCTGCCTAGCACTGGCCTCTGATAGCACCTGTAACATGTCTGTGAGCTTTTATGGGTGCCTCAGATGCCTTGAGACATCTGAAATGGCACTGGGGAATCTTTCCCTAAGTTGGAATAGCAAGAACCCACCTATCTTATGGCAGAGATGACAAGCAGAACTTGGAAGGCTTAACCTTAATTTTAGGGAGCACACCAAAAGATACTCTGCTTTTCATTTTACATTTGGCAGGTATTGATCGTCTGAATTATAAGTCTCCATGCACTACATGATCATATTGAAAAACTGTTCCAAAATTTCCAAGAATGCTGTAGGCACCAAAAATCATAGAATCGTAGAGTCATTAATGTTGGCAGAGACCACTAAGATCATCTAGTCCAAACATCAACCCATCACCACCACGTCCACTAAACCATGTCTCCCAGTGGCACATCTACCCTTATTCTGTTGATAAGTGGAGAAATGAGGACTAGAATAGTTAGATAGTTAGTAGCTCTGAATGTTAAAGTCATATGGCAGTTTTGGTGGGGAGGAGATGAAAATGGTGAGAGGTGATGAAGCTTGCAAGGGAAGGAAAGAGAGGAAAGTGATTATCAGGTTTGAAGTAGAAGGCAATGAGGGTAAACAGCAACTTTAAGGATGGAGATATGAGCGGTGTGCTGAAGGAAAGCGAGGAGGCAAAATCCCAATAGGAGATTTGAAGGTGATGTGAGGACACTGAAACAAAGACCACTGTTACAGTGTCATGGAATCTTAGTGGTTTTAAAACTGATTATTGGCACGAATGTAGCCCCAGAGCTGATGTAAAATTAGGCAGAAGTCAGAGGAAGAGAAGCTGGGCTGTGGAAAACTGGGCCACCAGAGGTTATGAGGTAGCTGTCTCCTGAGTGTGCTGGTCTTTTATCAGATCTACATATTCTTATCACGAGAACAAAAACAAACTAACATTAATTGCCTTCTAGGTGAAAAATAGCAGAAAATTAAAATTGACCGTCCTTTAAAAATGTAAAAAAGTCAGAAATCTAGTCACAGAGTAGACCTGCACTCCTATTTCTTAGTTGCCTTGCTTTTTTCCCATCTGTTGACTCTTCTATCACCCACACTGCAGGGATTTTGAGTCTTTTGGGGTCAAACCATCCAATTTCCTTGGGCACTCTTGGAAGAGTGACTGGGGTGATGGTAGAGATGGTAGGCAATACAATCCAAATCTCTTCCTGACTCCTTCTTGGCACAGTTTTTCTACCCTATCCTGTGATGTCTAGTGCCATGAAACATTCTTGCATGCCTATATGCAACCACATACAGCCCCTGCAGCTTTGGAGGACACTTACTGTACCTTGAAGAGAGTCTAAAGATATGAATTAGTTTGAGCCTATGAAGCTTCTAAATGTCAAAGCACTGGAAGTTCTTTTGGGTTTGGTGGCCAAATTATAGTTTCCAATCTTAGATGGACTTCACTGGGTGTATTGTCATGATCATGAATTACTATCACTATGTAATTTATATTCACATGAATTACTATCTAGTGCTACAATTTCTGGAGTACGAGATGATAAGTTGGGCTTTTTTGGGTCAGGCATGGTGCCACTAACTGTCAGACACTGAAAATTTAGCATTAAAATATAAGACATTAGAAGTACAGAAATACTATAGATCAGCATGTCGGGAACCTACTTATTCTTGAAAGGCAGGTAAAAGCCCACTTAAAGAAAAGCACCCTTGAACACAGATAGGACGCCTAGAGACAATGAAGAGGAGTAATGGCAGTTGATGTCTTGGCACATCCATATTCATGCATGAGGACTGGTATAATAGTAAACCCTAAAGCTGATCAATTCTGTATCAAAAAAAAGGGAGAGGAGGTCAAACATGACAAGACCAATGGTTTTGAAAGGATATGATTGTTGGAAAGGAGAAGATTCTCAAAAATGAGAGCAGAAGAAATGTTTAGCTGTGGTACTAAGGGACACGGTTTAGTGGGTTTATATTGGTAGTGGGCAAATGGTTGGACTGGATGATCTTGGAGGCCTTTTCCAACCTTGATGGTCCTATGATTCCATGGTTCAAAACACGTGATGTGACAGTAAAGAAGTGGAAGCCAATAGAGAGAAGCAAAGAGAAGCCCAGAGTGGCCAAGGTAAGGCCTAGGAGAGTCATCTTTCTAAATTCTTTCTGGATCAGAAGGAATGCGGCTGTAAAAGCCAAAGAAGATACATCAGTGGTTTAGATGAGAAAAGGTGAGAATGTGAGTGATGTGGATGAAATTAAAAGTCTAGATAATAGGAATGTTGCATGAGATCCAGCTGAATCTTGTACCTTTTGATCCAAGGGCACAGCTCAACTGGAAACCAGGTATTGCTCGCTGCCACCCCTGTGCACCATTTATATGCAACCCTCATCTGATGCCTGCAACTTCAGAAGAAACCTAAACTCATTTGATCATTGACTGAAACAGTTGCCCTTCATGATGAATAGGCTAGATGCTGTGGCTTTTCTTATGAAGAGACTAAAGAGTTGTAGGTTTGGGTAACTTGTGTTGAGATTCAGATCTGCAGCCTGCTTCAAAGAGGCGTTTGAAGTCTTGAGGGAAACATGCTTTTAGCTTATAGGGAAAGTGAGAGTACGTGCTCTCAACTTGCTGCTCATCTGATAACTCTTTAATTTTAATCACCCTGACAGTCTGTGGTAAACCATGTGGTTAACTATTTCGAGTGCCGTGTGCTTCACTTGAAGCCACAGTCTGATTTGGTTGTGAGGTGAGTTCTTTGATAACACAAAGACACGGGGCCATGAAAACAGTCCTTGTGTGGCTTGGCTGTTAAGCCATTCACAATGCTCTTCATTGTGGCCTTCTTTGAAATTAGTGACTTTTACCAAGTGCAGGATAATGAAAAGCAAAAAGGGCAGAAAATATCAAAGTGAGAAAATGATGAGTGGCTCCAACAGAGCTTTACAGGACTGGGCTTGGGGATTGCTGGCTGGTTTGCTATAGGCATGGCTTTGTTTCAAGGAGAAGTCATTTTAGGAAGTCAAGGGCAGATGCCAAATGAACAGCTATCAGGAATTCAAGGCCCTTTCAGAGTCTTTCTCGCTAGTTCCCAGGCTGAATTAATTGTGGCTGTAGAAAATGTGAAGACAGTGATTAAACATTTTATTCATAATAGCTGTTACTATTGTGCATAAGCTTAAGGGGCCAACGATCATGAACCCAAATATACCGAGTGCCTGCCCCGATGTACCCAGTATGTTTTGTTTTCAGATTTCTCAGCCTTTAGACCTTAAAAAAATCATTAAGTAGTGCCTTCATTATATTCTGGGTCTGCAGCTCAACTTTCAAGTGCACTGAAAATGATCTCAATTCATTCCAACTGATTGAGAAGTATATTTAGTTGCAATTTGCTGATGACACAGCACTTAACATCCTTGTTTGGGGACAAGTTATATATAGGTTTGAAAACTAATTTCCTAGTAAGCTGCTTGTTGGTGTGCCCAGAGAGAACTGTCTACTCTGCTTTTGCAGATGACTGAAACTTTTAATAATTTTTTATTAAGTGTAGACAAATGCAAGTTTCATGTTACATCGTGGAGATTCCCAATGGAATTTTTCTGCACTTTGCACAAATCTGTTCTTGTAAAATCAATGGTAATGGCTAATTCCAACGTGAATAAAGACAGTTAATAACAACAATATTTTAAAAATAATATAAGTAATAAGTGTATTTTAAATCATGTAAAATAATAATTTAATTAGAAAACCAAAGCCTCTTCTTGACCTGGAGACAATCAATCAAAGAAGCAAAACTTCTCCCATTGCTTTCATGCCATCCGGTTTCATCCCTTAGCCCTCCAACAATGGACCAATCCTCTGTTAGGAGGAAGAGGAGGAGGAGGAAGCTGGATTTGCACACTGACTCAGCTGACTCTGGGTTTACTTCCAGACCAACCAACCAGAGCTGCAGACAGACCTGGATGTCCGCAACACATGGTGCCATCACCTCATGGTCATGCACCAGGCTGCACCTGAGTGACTTTCAAACCTCCCATGATGTCTTTCTACAGGAGTGCTGTCCTGTCACAAGCAGCAGCTCCAGGAGATCTGTACATGGAGAGCTCTTTCTAAGAAAATTGGTACAGGGGAGCCTTTGCCCATCTAACTTCAATGCCACAGCCCCATAGGATCCCAGACATAAATGCAGTAATGCAGAGCTCACTCTGGTTGACAACCTGAATTGTGTTTCACCCAGGTGATGTTCTTACCAAGCTGAATTTAATTTCCCATAGCCAGCTCAGGTGAATATCTCCCAAACCCCTTCTTCTAACGTCTATCACTTCAAACCTCTTACTGGGAGCAGAATTAGGCCCAGATACTTAACTGAGCACAGTCTGGCACTGTTGTTCAGAAAGATACTGGAAGCCTTTGGAGGCAGGTGCACAGGCTGTTCTAAATCATAGATTTTCTGATTGCAGAAAAATGCCCACCTCTTTCACCTACTGAATTTGCTGACGTGGCTGCTGACACATATCCACTGAAGACCAAACTGCGTTATGAGTGTGACAATGGCTACAGGAGAAGAAGTGGGAACTCCTTGACCATTCGGTGTTTGAAGGTATCAGGGACTGCTTCTTGGGTCCACGATGAACTTGTATGCATTGGTAAGCGATTACCAACTTTTTTGGCACTTGTGGTGTTTTCCCAGAGTGAGTATGCAAGATGTAACAGGGCACTTTGGTAACAAATGATCTTTTGTGCTTGTCTTTGCAAATTAAAACTTCTAACAAGTCTGTTCTGTCTGTAAAAGCTTGACTGCTCAGGCTTAGCTCTGCTCTTTGTCCTGCTATCATGCAGTAAATATATCTTCTTCTCACAGATGAGAAAATTTTGTTCTCAAAGAATCACACAGCTAAGTTAAATTCTACACAAGAGCCACCAAGAGAAACCCAGAGCCCAGCACCTCCAAAGCAAGTAAACAATTCAAGTAAGTTAGAGTCTAATCAGTACTGTAACACTTCTCCCATTCATTTCCATGGAAGCCGTACAGGAGTGATAATGAGCAATTTTTAATTATTTTGGTAGTCAGGGAGAATAAATATGCTATAATACCTGTTTGTCTGAGCAAGTGAAAACAAGCAAGTAAATGATTTCTTTATATGTTCAAGAGGTAGGAAAGTTTGGTATATCTTACTTGCCTGTATTTTATATGAATACAAATCACGTTGTTTCTTCCTAGGTAACAGTGATAGGGTGAGAGGTAATGGCCTTAAGTTGCAGCAGGGGAGATTCAGGTTGGACATTAAGAAAAATTTATCCTCAGAAAGAGTGGTGAGGCATTGGCACAAGCTACCCAGGGAGGTGGTGGAGGAAGTGTTAAGGAAAGGGTAGATGTGGCACTGAGGGACATGGGTTAGTGGGCATGGTGGGCATGGGTTGATGGCTGGCCTGGATGAGAGCTTAGAGGTCTTTTCCAACCTCAATGATTCTATGATTCTATGCAAAACAAAAGCAGTAAATCAAACCTATCTGCCTAACAATGTGCTGCTTTGTGAATTCCCAGGTTTTTGTGGTATGCCCAAAACTGTCCTTCATGCCTCTCTGAGCGTACAACAAGTATATTCTGTGGGGCAAGTATTACGTTTCACATGCCCGACTGGCTACAATGAGCAGCTTCCTACCTCTGGCACCATCACGTGCAAGAATGTGACTGGAAGAATCAAGTGGATGCCCCTTGATAAGCCATGTACCAGTGGCAGCAGCCCTATAAACAAGCAGCTGTCACATCTTATTGAGGCAGGTAAGATTTTTCTTTGGCATCACAACAATGTCATGACCCGTTCACAGAGGGTCCACAGAAGGTCCTCTGCCAACACAGGAACAACCTGAGAAAAAACCTGCGTGGGGTTCAGGATGGAGAGATCAGTGACCATAGGACTCTGACAGTGGTGGAAATGATGCTCATGGGAAGGACATAGTTACATCCCACTTGGTCTTGGGAGATTTCATACTAAAAAGGAAGAAGAACTTGGGAGCAGATAGAGCCACTCTGTCACAGATTAGGATGAAAATAGTAGAATAAGCTTTTCTCTTTTCTCCTTGCTACTGACAGATGAGGCTATTGTAGCTTCAATTCAAACTCCAAAATTGTATCAGCATTTCTCATGATGAATAGTTTTAGATGAATTGTACAACAGAAAGACTTACTTATTCCCAGGTGAGTATAACAGAGCCCAGATGACTACCTCAGAAGCTACACCTATATAATGACAGGTGAGAGACATGGCCAGGTAGTGGGGCAGGGACATTTGGACAGGCTCCTTTGCCTGCAGAATGACCTCTGCCTCATTGCTGCTCTGTCTGTAGAAACAAATCATCTTACTGGGCACACTGGTTCAGCATTATACAAAGAATGTCATCCCTTTTTTATAGATCTGGATGTTTCCCTGTGGTAGTTAGCAGTGTTTCAAATATGGCAGTCACAAACTGTTCTTCGGTCTTTACTCCTCTTTCAGGTCATTTTCTTCCATTCATAATTACCCTTAATGCTGTCAGGATGAAGGAACTTCTCGCTACAGTGGAAACAATCCATCAACACGCCAGTCCTAGAACAGGATACAACCTCTTGAAAAGTCAGAGATTATAAATATTTGAAGCTTTAAAACTAGGATTACAAAAAACAAATGTCTGGATGGTGACATGGGCCATCTGGGCCTTTAAATTCTTTAATTCAACAGAACAATAATTTCATTTTCCTGCAAAAGTGCACTAGAGCCTGAGTAAGACCAGTCTTTTTTGTCAGTGCACTGAAAATGTATTCGCCCTAAGGAACGGGCTGCCCAAGGAGGTGGTGAAGTCACCATTGCTGGAGGTGTTCAACAAAAGGATAGATATGGCACTGAGGAATATGGATTCGTGGGGATGGGTGGATGGCTGGACTGGATGACCTTAGTGGTCTTTTTCAAACTTAATGATTCTATGGTTTTATTTTTTTTTTTTTCCTTTGTTACTATGTGGTTCCTTTAGTGGTGCCATATATGGTCTCTCCTTTCTCTGCTTTCTCCTTAACAGTGAACACAAACACATTTATCCACTCTTAAAAAACCTCCCTTATTAGAAGGTAAAAAGCCTTCTAATACCTCATACTGATGTATGAGAGTTCAGAGCTTCCTTTTTGCAGGATAAGGGAGAAATTCAGTGGATTTCTATCACTAGGAAGGATTTTGTTTCCATTTCTGGGGAAAAAGAGGTCCCATTTGAAGCCATATTTCCAAAGTCTTGTTTGGTACTTTGACAGTCATCCTTCCCAGTCTCGTGTGAAATAATCTTAGCTGGATCCTATTCCCTCCAAGCCACCTCATGCCCACCCTTGGCAGATACCAGATCAGCAGATATGTTGCTATCCAGGCTGGCAACATCCATCGATGGCCAGGAAACAAACATGACGATTACTCAGTGTGCAGTGGCAGACCTGTCACACCTAACCCAACTTTGCCCTCATTACTACCTCGATGCTGGGATGAGCTCTCTCCTCACCAGAAGAGCAAATCAATACAAAATCAAGATTTTCTCTCTCTTTGTATGTTCAACTCATCCATCCTTTTCCTCATCACTGATATGGCCAGTGACAAGCATGTCATTTTGTTAATTGGGCTCAGACTTCACCTCATCTTGTAGAGAATTACTTTGCCTTTAGTTTGCTGTTCTATTGAAGAGATCCATCTCTGTTCTAAGAGGTTCTGCAAGACATACCTGTGCCCATGGATCAGAAGAAAAGTCAGTAAACAAAGTGTGCAGACTGTTTAAGCACTACAGCTTTTTACAAAGTGGTTTCCAAAGGCGTATAAGGGGTGTAAAGGAAAATAATCACCCAAAAATCTGTTTTTTAAATGAAGTAATTTTCAAATTCTTCCTCTGAAACTTTATGTGAATTCAGTGCATATCTTCCACTGAAGAAAGGGAGGAAAATGTAAATATTTAAATGATGTGTTTCTTACACATTTCCAAAGGGCTGAAAGAGGACGGGAAAATAAAATATTTGCTCACAGCTAAAACCGATGCATTTAGATCAGTCTGAAATGATTTTCTCCTCCCCCTTCCCCATCTCCCATTCAATCATTAGCTGCTAAAATAGAAATCAGCTCTTACTGTGCATATGCTCAAGACTTCGTACAAGGGCTCTTGATTCCAGCTGGAGTCTGCTGGCAGCCGTAGCGCACATAATAATGAAGAGGAATAATGTAGTGTGATAAAGGAAGGGAAGGAAGGATATTGCTAACTATGCCAGAGGATGCAACAACAGGATCTCCTGGTTATTTGGCCATGGTTGCTCTCTTGTCTCCCAGATCCCCTCTGGCTGGGTCTGTTTGTCCCCAGGAGCAAAGCAATGGGGCCATGTGGGGGGAATTATTGTCTCTGGGCATAGGGACAGGATAAGCTGCTCTTCTATTTCTCCCGGTTGGGGTAACTGCAGTAATCCCTGTGGAGCACTGCAGATAACTCCAGGTGCTGATTTTGTGCTGATTCTCTATTTTTTGCAGTCATTTTTTCCATTCTGCTTCTCCATTCTGCTGTCTTATTTTGAGTCACCGAGCAGAGATGATAAACGGGAAGGAACCAGGAAAATGTGAAACCTAAAAAAATCCCTGGAAGAGCTCTCAGCCGGATCTACCACTTCATTACTGCACTGCTTGGATTTCTGAATACCTTCTCTGGTATTAAATAAATGACCCCGGATTTTGGGTTGTCTGGTTCAGCTGTTAAATACTGGCAAAAGAAAAGGAGGAATCAGAGCTTCTGAAATCAAGAAGTGTGCACAAAACCACTTTGTCTCAGCCACTGTGGAACTGAGAGTGACAGTTCAAATAACGGGTGGAAAATGAATCCTGCGAGGAAATTAAGGTTAATTATGCAAATATGTTGGTTTCAGATAGATTGCGCAATCAGTCTTTTTCTATCTGGCTGATCTGTGGGAAGTCTGATGGAGCATCTGCCATCACCACCAAGTTATTCTTTGTCCTTCGTCCCCCTGATTTTTCCGACGTGCCACGACAACTTTGTACTGCAGGCTTATTTTAGTCTGGCCTCCTCACTGCTTCTATTACTACACTGAGATGTAACTTGTTCCTGTTCAGAGCCTCCTCCGCCAACGTAATCCAAAGTGTCCCTGTTTCACACTTGCAAGTTCTCCTTTTCTAGTCTTTCTCTGCAAATGCTCATTCCAGTTTCTCCTTATGTTTTTTACTAATTACTAGTGGGCTCTGCCTCTCTGCTGAATGGGAATTTTTCTCTACAAGGCGGGTGGAATTATAGAATAGAGTCACAGAGTCATAGAATGGCTTGGGTTGGAAGGGACCTCAAAGATCGTCTAGATCTCACCACCCCCACCCAAGACATAGAAAATAACTTTGCGAAGCCATCAGCAATGTGTTTAGCAGTGCTTTCAGTCAGTATGTGATAGGATAAAGCCATAGGTAGTGTAGAAAATGCTTTGAAACTTGTTTTATTGAAGATGGTCTACTGTGGTGCAATCTGTGCTTGGACTGTTACGGGGTTTCTGAGAATATGATAGGTGAAAAATTTTCAAGAATAATCGGCATCTTCCTGACTCTGTGGTGGGACAGAGGGCTGAAATAACCAATACCAGATGAAGCAGTAACTGAGGTCCTAAGTGGTGTCTTTTGCAGAACTTACAGACTGATTGCTCAGGCTGCCCAGAGATCTCCCATCTCTAGAGACATTCAAAGTCAGTCTGGATGGGGATCTGAGTGACCCAATGTAGCTATAGGTGTCCGTTTGCTGCAGGGCAGTTGGACTAGATGACCTTTAAGAGTTCCTTCCAACCCAAATGATTCCATGATTCTATGACTCTAAGATTCTACAATTCTGTCACCTCTCCCGGTACAGACAAAACCATAGAAAGCCCGACTCTTCCCTGTAGTAAAGTTTTTTCTACCCATGGTGATGACTTTCCAGGGAACTGTGGCACTGAGATTTAAGCTAGTGAAACCAACGCCATGCTACAGAACAACCAGTTTGCACTGGTGACTCCAAGACCAGCAGGACCAAATAAGCAGGAGGCCTGGACACTCACATCCAATGTGAGAAGGTGGCACAAAATATCACAGCCTAATTCTTAGGACAGCAGGGTGACTTTCCATCTGCAGAGGACAGATGGAGGGAATGCACTCCATCACTGAGATGAGGAAAGAGTCCTGCCTGAAGCTGCCTCCCAGAAACACTTCTACAGTATAGCAATTATAGTATTCTGACATTACAACCTCATGTAAGTGACCAGGTGGACAAATGGACTGATCACCCAAGCACATTAGATGGTAGTACTGTCCCTACAGATCACACACCACTTTTTCTACAAAGAGATGCTGGAAGCCTGATTTCACCCAGTCCATGCTGTGCTATGCTATGCTATGCTATGTCATGCTATGCTATTCTATTCCATTCCGTTCCATCCCATCTCATTCCATTCCATCCCATTCCATTCCAGTATTGCTCCGGAGCAGAGGAGGCACAAGATTAATTTGGCAGTTCCTTTTATACTTGCAGAGCATCAAAAAGCCTAGTGTAAAGGCATCTGAGGACAGATTAAAGCATGACTTCAGCATGTGCAGTATTTGATATATACCTACTTTATTGGGAATTTATGAGTTTTGAATAGACCTCTGCTTCTTCTTCATTCTGCCTGGTATGATAGAGTTCAACTGAGAAAATACAAACAAATCTGAGACAAACAATGGGAAGGAACAAGTTCCTTAGAGGAACATATTTATCTCACCCTATTGCCTATATGTATATGTATGCCTATAGTTATTTATTTATGTCATATGTATCTACATACACATATACTGCACATATATACACATACGTATATGTAACTGTACATCTATATGTACATAGTTGTACATATACACATGTGTGCCCATATGTAGACCAAATCCCTCAGTGTTTAAAGGCACTTGTTTCTCTTCACTGACTCTAAATGATGCCCAAATTGACCAGATTACCTGTAGATGCTTACATGTTATGTCAAGAACCAAACAGGATTAATCCCTTCTAATTTGGTGGGCATGACATGTTAGTTTGTTTTCTATTTTGTAATAGAGTGCATGTCATTACTTTAATGAGTTGTATTCCTGTTGAGTTTTTCTCACTCCATAGCTTTGACATTTATACTTTCCATAGTTTTATTCCTGTTGGAACAGGACTGATTTGTAATATGTATCTTTATAAATACATGACTGTCTATTACACACTGGTATATTGTATGGGAGCAAACAGCAATCTGTATTTATGTAACAGATAATATCTTTTCAAACCTGCCAGCTGCTCTGAAGTGTGCAAGCAGTGATACTGAGCTCTCCTGTTTCCTTTGTTTAATGCACATTAGTTACTGTTAACATAACTATGTTAAGCACTGCAATTAGGTTGGCATGACTTGTCCCACTCATGGCAGTTTACTGCAGAAAGCTAATATTTTACCTGCTTCTAGCATGTACATTTTTAGCCCGTTACGCAGAAAATGAGTCATGTCTCCCATTGCTCTGATGACTTATTCTACTTTCTCTAGCCAGGTTGCTTCATGGGCTCTCTCTCCATATTTTGTCTTTGTTTCTTGGCAATCAAGGGAGATATACTGCTAGCATGGTACCTGTAAGCCATACATACTGGAGAAATATTACAGGATTCAATTTTCTTAGCTATTAATGTCTACAAAGGGTCAGAACTCAGGTGGTGTCCAGCATGGGAGCTGTATGTGTCCTTCATCAGAAAGCCGTAAGTCTCAGACGAGCTGTCCTTCACCTCCTGGTGGAGCTTGTTGGCCCTCTGGGGACATGTTTGTATTGGAGGCTCGATCCTTCAGTGCGACACACAGAGGAAATCAATAGGGTGCAGCCTGGAAGCAAAATCCACCATTGAAGGAGGCTGTGGCCAAACCGTCACTGTCCTGCTTTCTCCATAGCCTTTCTCCAATGCTTTCTCCATTTATTTCACATGAGGTTTGGTGTTTGATACTTTTATTCGGTAAACTTGATTTTCTCAGCATGGAATGATCAACAAACTGTAACAATAAATTATTCCAGGTGTTTGAATGCAGCTAGTCCTTCTTGTTATGTCTACCAACCACCACGATTCTCTGATTTTGTAATTCCGTGTAAGCTGAACTTTGAAAAATCTAAGATTTGTTTTCCATTACTCTGCTGGCAGCTGTAGAGCACATAATGAGGAGGAGGAATAATGTAGTGTGATAAAGGAAGGGAAGGAAGGATATTGCTAACTTTGCCAGAGGCTGCAGCATCAAGATCTCCTGGTTATTTGGCCATGGTTGCTCTCTTGTTTTGTCTTGTCTCTCTGTATTACTTTGAATGAAAAGTATGAAGAAATCAGGAACATGATATAAAGAAGGTTTATTCTAGAGGTCTGTCTAAAGCTCACATCATGGGTGGACTGCTACACCTAACCTTTAAAATGCAGCAGGAAACTAAAAAGTTCTGTACAGGAGGATCTCTGACAACACAGATAAGGTGAACAGTGAGTAGATTTACAGCCTAGAGGCAGTGAAGCTCCCCAACCCTCACACAGGGGTGAAAAAACATATACTTCTGTTTCCTATATATACTCAGGTGTCAGAAAACTTGGTTTTCCTGAAGTCTGTAGCAAAAAGTAATCTTGCACACTGCCATTGCATGTGCCTTCATGGAGATTATGATTTTACTAGACGATCTTAGTGGACTTTTCCAACCATAATGACTTCATGATTCTATGTCTCAGTCTGAGTTTGTCCCATCACAGTGGAGAAAAGGGGAGTCCAGAGAGATTCAGCTATTAAATGCAGAAGTCCAACCAGGCTGAATGGTTTTCCAGACAGCATCAAAAAGATCCTCATCGACTCTATGGGGTGCTCAGACAGGAGCTCAATGGAAACACCTACAGTTTGATCTGGTTCCCTAAACAGAAAAATATGCCAGGGTCTGATACACGCAGTGTTGTCAGAGGCATCACAGGAATAGATGCCACAGCACAGGATCTATCAGAGGTTCTGCACTGACAGCTGGAAGCCAAGCAGCACAACTCAGCCCATCCTGCAGAATTACCCCCACATGTGGATGCCTACTTAAAGATGCCCAAGCAGTGAGCTGAGACCCAGCCCAAGAAATAACTGAGACTTTCAGAATATGTCATGCACCTCTCTAAAGGCACTGCTGAAAGCATCTGCTACCACCCAATGACCAAATAATTACTGAAGTTCAAATTCAAGCACGATACTTTTGGCTGCAATGACAAATGAAAAAACAAGAGGTGGGGACGTCATGCACAAGTACCATTCAGCAGCCAAAAATGGTCCATATCTCAGACAATTTAAAAGATGTAATCTGAGTGCAGGAAGGCAGTGAATAATACAGGTCCGCCTCTCAGTCACATTTCAGTTACCCACTCTTTTTACATTCATTTTTACTTCTATAGGAATAAATGTTTGGCAGGGCCAATATATGCTTGTCTAGGGACTATGAAAGCATATGAGCAAAGAACTCAGGACTCCAGCAACACCAGCTCCATCAGTCATTTCCAGGTCACTAATTCCCTATTTTCTCCTTTGGTTTTTATGTAGAAGAAATTCAGGGAAGATATTTCCCAGATAGATTTTATTTTTAAAGCTTCAGCAATTTTTATCCATGCTAAATATTATTCTGGAGAAGCTCCAATGATTTTGCCTCTACTATGGATAGGTCCATATGGGAGAAGGGTGAAGTCTTTGGCTGCAGGGCAGAGTGGTGCCACTACACAGAGCTCTACGAGCATTTCTGCACAAATGGTTTCACCCATTTGCAAGACCTGAAATTGAGTCTTCTGTCTCGCCAACAGCCTACATCTTCCCTCACCTTCCTGACACCACTCCTTCAATCGCTTGGCTGCATACTTGAGTTGCAAACCAGCTGTGCAGTGCCCAAAAAGTCCATCTGGGATGAGCGCTGCCAGAATAACGCTCAGAGCTGGGTGACCCTTGGAGATGCTCCTGAATAATGTCACTATAGATGTCCCCAGAAAGCCTTCCACATCCTCAGGGAAGCAGGTCGTGGTGCTGCCGCAAGCTGCTGAGAAAGTCACTTTCTTTTAGCACGTCTAGGGCAGGAGGAGGTATCAGAAACACCCTGCTTCAGCATTTCCAGGCTCAAACTTTCAGAATTTCCATTTAAAGGGGAATTTGGAAACTTCTGGGGTTTTGTCGTGATTCAGATTGAAACCACATTTTGAAATGACAAAATTTCCTGTGCACGGGTAGTCCTGTTTTCCAGCTCTCTTTGCTCAAAACCAAAGGTTTCTCTCTCTTTTTTTTTTTATATTGTTTTTGTACTGTTGAAACTCCCCCAGTCCTTAAAAAAATATCTGTCCTAGTGTGGCAGATGAGGAAAACAGTAAAACTGAAAGTTGTTGTACTATCTGTTTCAGCTCTAGGACACAGTGCACAGTAAAATGAAAATAATTCTGTTTTCATTTCATGGATTGGAAACTTCGTAAAGTAGTCTCAGCCCCAGTCCAGTGCTCCATGTATTCAGGAACCTGAAACAACTCCTGACAGTTTGAAATGTTAGGGCAGGAGACCTGAGTCCATATGGGTCTACAAAGAAAGGGGGATATGAGTGCCCTAATTTTGTCCTCTAGAAATGTTCTCCTACCTCACTGAGCAAATATTGATGCTATTGTTGCTCCCAGAATGGCACTGGAGATGACAGGAGCAGATGTCCATGATGCCACTTGGGTGGGACCTGGCCGCCTGTGCTCAGGTGCCCAGGTACCACTGGAGATAGCCTCGAGGTCCTGCCCCCATTGCTTCTATGCAGCCTTCAAAGAAGTGTGTCCTGGGTGAGTGATGAGATCTGGCAGGTTAATGAACCATGTGAAAGGGAAGGTGACACAGCTAATGGAACATTTCTGCAGTGAGCAATGGAGCATGTGGCAGAGATGCCAGAAGACTACGGACACAGGGTCAGCTCTGGAGTCACAACAGTCCAGTAGCACTGGAGCTGAGCTGCTCAGGAGCTGAGAAACTCAGGGTCAAGCTGCTATCTTAGTAAGTGAGACAGATTGTATGTGCAGTTTGCACCATGATCTTCTTGGTAGAAGACAGTTTATAGAAGAAGTAACCAAGCTGAGTGTAGCAGCTGACACAGTGGAAGGGAAGGATGCCGTTCAGAAGGAACTCAAAAGGTTGAATAGTGGGCTCGGGTGAACCTAATGAGGTTTAACATAGCAAAGTGCAAGGCTTTGCACTTGGGCCAGAGGAATCCCAGGTATCTATACAGACTGGAAGGAGCAATCCCTGAGAGCAGCCCTGCAGAAAAGGACCTGGGGGTCCTGATGGATGAAAAACTGAACATGAGCCAGCAGTGTGCTCTTGCAGTTGGAAAGCAAATGGTATCCTGGGCTCCATCAGCAGAGGGGTGGCCAGCAGGGACAGGGAGGTGACTGTCCCCCTCTACTCTGCTCTTGTGAGGCCCCATCTGGAGTACTGTGTCCAGGTCTGGAGCCCCCAGTACAGGAAGGACAGGAAGCTGTTGGAGAGGGCCAGAGCAGAGCCACGAAGATGATCAGGGGACTGGAGCTGCTCCCCTACAAAGACAGGCTGAGGGAGCGGGGCTTGTTCAGCCCGGAGAAAAGAAGGCTGCAGGGTGACCTCATTGTACCTAAAGGGAGCCTACAAACAGGAGGGGAACCATCTCTTGGAAAGGGTAGATAACTGCAGGACAAGGGATAATGGTTTGAAGTTGAGGGAGGGAAGATTTAGGTTGGATACCAGGGGGAAATTCTTTACTATGAAAGTGGAGAGGTGCTGGAACAGGCTGCCCAGAGAGGCTGTGGATGCCCCGTCCATCCCTGAAGGTGTTCAAGGCCAGGCTGGATGGGGCCCTGGGCAGCCTGGTCTGGTATTAAACATGGAGGTTGGTGGCCCTGTGTGAGGCAGGGGGGTTGGAGATTCCTGATCCTTGAGGTCCCTTCCAACCCTGGCCATTCTGTGATTCTGTGTTTCTGTGAAGTAGTGATAGTGTGATGATAGGTGTCATGGTATTTTCAGATTGGGTTTGGACAGCCTATCTCTGCCAAAGAAGCCTTACAAACTAAGGCATTACTAGAAGTGGAAATTTCAGTGGAAAGCAGTTCTAGGATTTAACATTGGAGCAAATAATTTATATCATAAACAACTCAGGAACAAAATTATACAGCATATATTGAACTTTTATACCCACTGAATACATTTTACAATGGAAAAAAAAAAAATCAATCATATATAAATCTGCAGAAAAGGTTCAAAAGTAGGGCAGATAATGAAGTTATCCCACTGCTTACAGAAATTTATCTTTAGTTGGTCAAAGTCTGCTGTGTATCTGATCCCTAAGCCCAGCTGCCTGATACCCCAGCTCTTGCTCTCAAGGTACCTGATCCAAAACCAAGCAAACAAAAATGTTCTAGTAAATTTACATAAGCATGGCCTTCATGTAAACTCAGGGTTAGGGAGCTTAGAGATTAGATGCAGGTTATCTCCTTCCTTATTTTACTTATTTACAGAGCTCAACAGAGCTGTGATGTTCTTCCCATGCTTACTAGCCTTCCTCCTTTCCACTTTCCTCTCTCTGTCTGCTCTTTGCCTTTGCCATTGGCTGTGTCAGGCGAGTCAGCCAGAGCAGGTTGTCCATTACAAGGTCCAGATGGATTTTGAGTATCTCCAAGGAGGAATCTGGATAATCCATGGATTATCTGAGCCAACCTTGCCTGGGAACTTTCCTGAGGAGGCAATGGATAAATCAACAGCATGTTAACAGCAATGTTGAATGAAAGAGGGTAAGGAACCACAGTCTGTATGTGGGCATGGAGAAACAGGGAGGAACAAAAAGCAGTATGTCTCTAGTCTTAAGGACAAACTGATTCCTTACCCACGGACTGGTATCCAGACTGTCCCTCCAGAGCTTTCAGGGACTCATCCCAGAACCATCATTGCAAGGGTGGGCAGCAGAGTAGGAAAGCAAATGAGCCAGAGGCTCTACTGGCCTCTTCCTTTTATTTTCAAAGAAGAGACTCTGAGTGCAACTGGAAAACCCTAGAGAAGGAAGTAGATCAAATGCTGGTGGGTATGATAGGATACCTATGATGTGAAACGGGGCTTATTCCCTGGGACAGTCACTATCAAACAGATAAACCTGATCCCTGCCATAAAGGTGGGTCAACACCTCCTCCAGCTCCCCCAGCGTGAGGAGCTGTACCTCATTCTTGTCATTCTCAGCAATGACCCCCCAAGCCTCCCTGTGGTTTTTGTCCACCTCACAGCAAGCGCTCGACCAGATGTGGCTGGGCTTATTCACTCTGCCCTTGGCAATATAGTTGTTCCCAGGCACAGCACCCACCACGACGTAGGTTGTGTTACACCCCACTGTCCTCCTCATCATGGTTTGCTGCTCATAGTTGTTCCAGGCACCACCGTTGAGTTTCTCATCCTGGGCCACGATGTTGGTGAGGCTGAAGGTTGCCGTCCTGCTGCTGGAGTCAGAGTGATGTCCACTGGGGTTCAAATGGCCGCGGTTCAAACCCGTCAGGTTCTTGTAATCCTGGAGGATAGCTTGGCTCTTGCCAATCTGTTCTGAAGTGACGTTGTAATATTTTGAGAGTGTCCATTCTCTTTCCATTGTTTTGGGATAACTCAGGCCCATCAGCTTGACAGGTAAAGAAGAAAAGGTGTTAGCACTGGGGATGGGAGTAGTGGAGCAGGTTTTCTGGAGCAAAAGTCTTTGAGTGCCGTGCGCTCATTTTCTGCCATTTCAATGCAATGAAAACATACTTATCACAGAGAAATCGTAAAGCTGTCCTTCCTTGACAAGAGATTAAAATAAAACAAAGCTCAAAATATGACACCATTTCATCTGTCTTGTGACCTTTGAGACCCAGTCTGCAGCAGGAATGTGGATGGATACATGAGCTATGGACAAATTTTCCATTCTCTCAGGTTTGAGAGGTGACTTTGGAGAGACACAAGTGTGACACATCTGGTTCCCTTTCCTTTCATCTCCACATCCCACACCTGCCCAAGGCTCTCCTCAGTTCCTGCTGCCCTGTTAATCACATCCAACCTTCATCATCACCTACATCTCATCACACTGTCACCAGTCCTGCTCATTGCTCCATTCAGACCCACTTCCACAAACAGCTCTCTCTATGTTTTTCATGCCTCTTTTAGTTTAATCTGTCAACACTCTATTGCTTTACAGGCTTGGGGAAAACAAGAGCACAGGCATTCTCTTTCAAGCTGAGGTCACTTAGGGAGTCCTTACAGGTGGATAGAATGGAAGAGAATGAAGAGAAGAGCCATGGAGCCCACAGAAGTCCCAGAGGAGATGAGGAGAATGCTCACCTGGGGTTCCACCAGCCAGGTTTTGGGTCTTGTGCCAGATCCAGGTTGGTACAGGTAAGCAGAATACACGGGAATACGCCTGCTCCTGTCATACAAGGTGGCAAAATAATACTGATTCTTGTAACGCTGGCAGATCCAGGCTGGGCTCTCTGGTTCCAGGGCTTCATTTGGGGGGGTTTCCCGGAAGAAAAACTGAGGGCATGAACTTTCAAAGGATGTCACCACCTCACCACGTCCCAGCCAGAGGCAGCTCAGTGAGATCTGCAGCAGCAGCAGCAGCAGCATCGCAGGGAGGACTTTGAGGGATGAGCTCTTGCTCACCTGGAGAGCAAATGCAGACAGACAACAAACTCAGAGAAAGCTCATCAAATCTAGACTCATTTTTGTTCTTGGGCACGGCTGGTAGAGAAGGAGACTTTGAAAGATCAAGGAAGAACAATTCATCTCTTACTGGATACTGAAAAAACAACAGCAGAATAAGGTTGAACTCTAAAATGGGTTTTGGAATCATAAAATCACAGAATCATTAAGGTTGGAAATGACCACTAAGCTCATCCAGTCCAACCATCAACCCATCCTCACTATGCCCACTAACCATGGCCCTCAGTGCTCCAACTGCCCTCAGCTGGATTCACATTCTGTTCCAACAGCTTGGATGCTGAGTTCAGCATTAGTCTTGTGAAGGATTTAGAGGGAAAATCGCAGTGGTGCTAAGCTCACCAATGTTCCTTGCCTCATTGAAGATCACACAGAAATGCACTTTTCTCTAACTTATCTGTGCTCACAGCAGAATTTAAATCAGACACATGATCCCAAATGGTCCATCTTGGAGTTCTGGCACTCAGACAGCTGTCACTGGGCAACATGTGCTCTTCTTGCATTTTCAGGGTGTCCAACCCAAAATCACAATCTTACAGAGACACATGGACGAAGAGAAGGGATTGAGCAGATGGCAGCAGCAAGCACAAGGGATGATTCTATTGAGCTGCTATAGCAGTACAGGTAGTCATGGAATCATATAATCATTAAGATTGGAAAAGATCATCTAGTCTCACCAATCACCTACCACCAGTATTGCCCACTGAACCACGGCCCTAAATACCACATCTCCACATTTCTTGGACACCTCCAGGCACACTGACTCCATCACCTCCCTGGGCAGACTGTGCCAAAGCCCAACCACTCTTCTGGAGAAAAATATTGATGTGCTGATGTATACTGATATATAATGCTACAGCTCTTCCTATGATTGTACAGAATTTTTACAGATCCATGTTTTCAGCTTTGCATGTTCTTTTTCCTGTACAGTGAAAAGAGCGGACACGATATTTTCTATTTCTGGTCCAGAAATAGATTTATTTCATCTTTCTCAGGTGTTGACATGATTGTCAGCAGTCAGCAAGATCTTTCTGTTGGAGAAAACTGTTCCTAATTTCATTGTGGTGCAGGATGCTTTATCTTCTTTCAGCTGCACTGCAGGCTTTGGGATAGCAGTGATATTTCCATTTTCATTGCTAGATGTTCAAATGAGTGATTTTCAAATAATTAGCATATGAAATCAGGCTGGTAGGAAAAGCAGCTGGAGGGATTCACAGGAGAGGAAGGCATTATGGCCTCTAAAACACAAACCCCACATTTGTCTGGGGAGGTGTCTGAGCTGAGGACTGCTCTTGGCTTGGAAAATCTCCTTGCACACTGCCCTTTTGTATTCTTTTCTCTGACCCTCATGTATTGATTCCCATTACATTTGGAATACAGAGAGAGAGATATCCTTTATATGACACAAGACATAAAACCATAGAATCAGAGAATCACAGAATAGCTTAGGTTGGAAGGGTCCTTAAAAATCATCCAGTTCCACTCCCACTGCTGTGGGCAGTTACCCCACAGGCCCTTTATCAGGCCCTTTATCTCTTTACTAGAGTTGGATCAGGAACAGGATGAGAAGCAAGCTGAAAACTGAGGAGAGAAAACCACAAGAGGTGGTTCTGTCATGCCCTGGAGGGCTGAACCTCCTCAAGCAGGAAAGTTCCTTTTTTTGCACCACCCCCTCCACAAACTTACTACATACACATAATTTAATTTCAGATATGCAAAAACCAACCTACCGTGTGAAAGAGAAGCACACAAATAGGTTTATTCACGTGATGCTGCTTGCAGCCCCAAAACTGTAGAGGATTTTCAAATGCCCCTGCTACAATCTGAAGTTGTGACTGTGGGTGATTTATATATAGTCTCCAGGCAGGGAAAGTTGGCCATAATACATTTTTATTGGATTTCTCAACCAGGAGTTCAAGCTGGATAGTCAAGGGGTGGAGCCAGGATCTGCGTTGAAAATGGGTTTTTCCAGAGGTGCTTTGCAAGGTCATGGGTAGAGAAAGCTCCCTCCTTTATTCAAGAGTTTGGTGTGAATTTTCCAGGTGATTTGCCAGCTGAAACTCACAGGTTCATTATGCAAGGTGTTTTATGGCATTTCTGATTAACCTTGAACCGAGTCTCTGCTATGGCTGTAAGCCAAATTCTATTCATGGGACAAAACAATATCTTAAATATACCTTATCCTGAAGTTTCATACAAAATAGCATACAAACTCCAAGTCTACTCCCAGTTGCTTGGTACAGACTGTGGTTGGCCAGCAGTGATGCAAAGATCAATGATGTTGCCAGATAAGGCATCAAGGAGTACCTGTCTGCTCCAGCCACCCAAAACCTTCAGTGCATCTCATACAACCTTGGTCCAGCATCACTGAGATATGGATATGAGTGGCTTTGCTGAAGGGATGCGCATTGTTCAACCCAGTTTGTACTGTTTTTATTCCAGAGCACAAAATACCCTTAGAGCTTGTGACAATTCATAAGAAGCAGGTGACAACCCCCTGTTTGGGAACAAATTCAAAATCAGCTCGAAAGGCAAATGGGATCCTGGGCTCCATCAGGAGAGGGGTGGTCAGCAGGGACAGGGAGGTGATTGTCCCTCTCTACTCGGCTCTTGTGAGGCCCCATCTGGAGTACTGTGTCCAGGTCTGGAGCCCTCAGTACAAGAAAGACATTGAGATTTTGGAAAGGGTCCAGAGGAGGGCGACTAAGATGATCAGGGGGCTGGAGCACCTCCCCTATGAGGACAGGCTGAGGGAGATGGGCTTGTTCAGCCTGGAGAAGAGAAGGCTGCGGGGTGACCTCATTGCAGCCTATCAATACCTGAAGGGAACCTACACCCAGGAGGGGAGTAAACTCTTCAAAAGGGCTGACAACAGCAGGACCAGGGGAAATGGATCCAAGTTGAAGGAGGGAAGATTTAGGTTGGATGTTAGGGGGAAGTTCTTCACAAGGAGAGTAGTTAGGCCCTGGAATGGGCTGCCCAGGGAGGTTGTGGATGCCCCATCCTTGGACGTGTTCAAGGCCAGGTTGGACGGGGTCCTGGGCAACCTGATCTGAATTTGTACGTTTTGTGGCCCTGCTAGGCAGGGGGGTTGGAACTACATGATCCTTGAGGTCCCTTCCAACCCGGGTGATTCTGTGATTCTGTGAAATTAATAACAATAATAAATGATACAGTGATGATGATAATATGATGGTGGTCACCATCAAGTTGAATAATTAAAAAGGCAAATGGAACGTGTTTTCCTACAGTTCAACATCTCAGTTCACCTTTAGTCATTTTGTACATCAGTGCCCAAGGCTTCTTCTCGCAAGCAGTTTCCCCGAAGTATCTCAGATCAGGTCCAACATTTTTCCAGGTCAGCAAGTGAGCAGCAACACCACTTAAAAGTATCCTGCCAGGCTTTGATGCCTTTTCTAGACAGGTGACACAGCGCCAATGCAGTGCTGCATCTCTAACACGATCCAGGGGATTGGAGTCTCGTTGGAGATGCTCAAGGTCAGGATGGATGAGGCTCTGAGCAACCTGATGTAGCTGTATGTGTCCTTATTCATTGCAGGGGAGTTGGACCAAACGACCATCAGGGGTCCCTTCCAACTCAAACGATTCTACAATTCTATTCTACGGTTCTGTGAGTGCTGGCTCAGAGGGCTGGCTTATGTCCATTGGGAATTATGTTCCTTCTTTGGGGTTTTTGTCCAAACATCACTAGAAGTGATTTTTTTTTCCTGGACTCCACCTGATTTTGTGATTTTTTCAAAGAACAGTTCATATGGTGACAAGTTCCCAGCTTCCTCCAGTCTCTGCTGCCTCTAAGTACTTCTCCCACATTCTCCAGATTTTTACTTCTATGTGCTTACACTTCTTTTCCAAGTCATTCCTTCTCCCCTTACCCTGTAATACAAAATGCTAAAGCTCTGAAAAGTATGTAGGCACACATAAAATCTAGTTTTCTCCAACGGGGATGGTTAGATCTCAGTAATTGCAGCATACCTTTTGCCTCCTGTATTTATTCCAAAGATCAAGGAAATGCTTTGAAATCATAGAATCATTAAGGTTGGAAAGACCACTAAGATCATCTAGTCCAACCATTAACCCATCAAATATGGGAGTCAATGGAGAAAGGAGCAAGGACTTACCTTGAAGCTGTGTCTCAGAAGCAGCAGCTGAACTGTCAGTTCCTTTTTCCCCCTTGAGAAATGGACATATGTTCACAGCCCTGCTGCAATACACACCTGCACCAATATAAATCTGCACCTTTTAATAACAAACAAAAAATTACACAAAGAAGAGAGACTTATGTTGTTGTTATCCTGGGGATATTTGCTCACATCTTCCTAGAAACGGGGGGCAACAATTGCTATTTGCTGTTTCCTCAGAATTTCACCCAGGTTTACTAGAGAGCACCACGTGTCAGAAACAGATCGGCATTAGATAGCTGAGCCTGCTGATTTCTCTTTCTACTTCCTCATTTCCCATGGGGTGCACGGAGTTTCTATTCCCAGCAGACAGCCTCGGTGGCATTAGGCAGTACATCCTGTCTCTGAGTACACACAGATGTTCATGGGCTGCTCTTCTACAGCCTCTCAAAATACAGTTGATGGAGTCTGAGTACGCATTTGCCTTCACATAACTGTAATGGTTTTATAGCACGTTAATGACATTCTATATGTATTTTATTTATTTCTATTTTCTAGATATAGGAGGACCGTTTTCAAATTGTATCTCACTGGACAGGTCCTCTCCTATGCCTGCACCAATACATGAACTATGGGCACTTTCTTTTTCTATGTGGTGCTTATCAACTCCAAAGCCCACGCTCATGAAATCCAGATTGGTATCCAGATTGCCCCTTCCAGGGAATGAGCACACAGAGGGTTGCAAACCTCTCTGTCTGCTGCTTTACAAATCACTGATGAGCCCATGTCCAAACAGCATCCCAGTGTGCATACAGGAGGCGTGGTGGAGACAGGGTTTCTTCCATTAGTAGTGGATAAAAGGTTTGGAGAGAACACCCTCATCTGATTTCCAAGGGAATGAAAAGAGTTCACTCCTATGGTCTCCTAAAGGAAAGCTGTAGGAGAGCTGCTGTTTTCCCACATCACAAGTGAGTTGAAAATGGCATTAAAAATTGTTAACGATGATGATAACCAATAACCACCTGTTGTAACTATGATGTGTCAGAGTTTGAGACCTGGACCAGAAACATACTAGACAGAAGTCAGGGAGTCTAATGCTGTGTTAAAGCTCCTGGAAGTGCACCTTTACGGGATCACAGAATGGCTGAGGCTGTAAGAACCTCTGGGTCCACTTGGTCAGCCTCAGGTAGGGCATCAAGAGCAGCGTGCAGCCTTGAGATATTGGAGCAAAGGGATTCTGGGACTCAAGTTGAGAACAGCATTTAATGGACATTTCTGAATAAGAATAGCAAGATGCTGAGCTTGGTGTCCCAGCAGTACTCACTGGGCTTCTGCTTTTAACATGGTGAAGTGAGAGGCTGTTATCAGTGTTTTGCTGCTCACAAGAGGTCACTGCATACAGAGAAACAAAGAACTAAACTGTGTTGATTCTTTTTTCTCTGTTTGGTTCGGTTTTTCTTCAAAAAGGACTTACAATATCCACAGCTAAACAGGAAGTAAGCAAAGCAGATATCAGCTAGGTACTGAGTACAACCAGGACCCAGGTGTGATATCAAAAATGCTGTGCAAACATAGCTGAAGTTATCAAAATCCTGATGGTGAAATCCCACCAGAGCAATTAGCAGCAAGTCTTGGATGACAAAAAGTTTTCCCACGTAGTTGGAATCAACAAAAGCTAATAAAGATCAGCTTTAGGGGCAGACCAATGTAAAATTCTTATGTGGGCAGTCTACACTTGTCAGAGAAGGAAAGTAAGTCCAGTTTAGCCATGAATGAGTGATCTGTGGGAATGAAACTGGACCCTTCCATAGTATGGAAGTGTGGCCTTGCCCATAGTTTTAATTAATCTGAAAAAAAACCCTGCAGAATATATACATAAAGAAATAAAATGTCCTGTGCCTAAAATATAGGCAACAGTCAAGGACTGTTGAGTCCTTGAGAACAAGCCACGAACCCCATGCTCAACTCCCGAAGACTGTTAGGTCATGCTTTTTCATTTTATTGATGTTTATAAAAATTGTGCTCTCCTGCTTCATTGCTGGCACCATTCTGTCTTTCAAGTCAGTGTAAGCAAAGGCTGCACAATGAAGGAGCTGTGCATTTTCTGTATGGAGCGGAGCTGTGAGTAATGTTGAACATCCCTCTACTGCAAGCCAGCTCCTATGTGGTCTGCCCTGCAAGACAAACCTTCATTTCTTCAGTGCTAGAGCTCAGAGATGGAAGAATCTTACTGAATCCTCCAGTCTCCTCTGAGTCACATGGGAGTTGAGATGTTTGTAGATTACATACTTCCAATAATCCTGCATCGTAGTAGAAAAGAAACAGGAAGGGGTGTTCAAGTCCAACCCTGTCATCTCCATTAGAATTTTCTCCTGACATTTACCTCCTTTCCCTTTCTAGCAGATATTAGACTGCTGCTGTAGCAGCCCTAATGAGGAGAGATATGCCTCTTGTGGCTGCAGGGCAGGAAGGAGAGGATTTGGAATCAGCAGAGTCAGAGGAGGGTACTATTTCCACTGCTGAAGAAGAGATGCCACCAAAGTCTTTTTTCACTTTTCTATCTCCATGAAAGAGTCAAATGAAGAGCCACAGAGCTCAGTGTAGATCTTAAGGAATAAATCACAGCAGCAGAAGCCAAATGGGCACAAGAAAACAAAATGCAAGGGAGATTGATTGATGACTGAACTAGAGGATCTTGGTCATTTCCAACCTTAATGATTCTATGATTCTATAAAACATGGTTCACATACATGATACAGGCTGTTCTGGACTGTTCTCCTTAAAGAGCAGCAAAGAGGAGGGTCTCAGGTGAGGGTCCTCAAAGGTTTGAGGTGCCCAGAGGAGACAGTTGGGCTTCTCTTCAAAAGCATCCCAAAAGTCTCTCAAAGCAGCTCTGTAGTGCAACCTCCACTAAGGAGCATAGCTCATGCAAAGAACACAACTCTTGTCCAGGGCCGTGGAAGAAGTGCCATGTTTATGGAGAAAAGTGGGCAGAGAGATGAGGATGCAAGAGATATGAGGTTGCCTAATCCAGCACCAGAACAAGTGCCATATTTATAAACTACTGACCTAATAAACTATTGAGCTATTTTCCTAGGGCTGTTCCTGCATTTTGAAGAGAAACATGTCCCTGTAAGGATCAAGCAGTATTTTTAATGTATTACAGGTTAGCAGGAAAACCTTGCATATCGGGCTATCCAGACTTGGATTACTTGAAGTAACTTTAGGTGTACGAACTCAGCCAGACTGTGTGCCATGGTCCGTGTGCATGCACAGCAGGTACAGCTCAGTGGCAGTGGGGTCTCATCTCTGTCACCAATCACTTTGCTACAAATACTCATTAGCAGAGAGCTGGCAGATTTGCCTGTGGTTACTTTCACTCTTTCAGTTTTTTTCAGCTTTGGAGACCAAAAATTGATCAGTTGTTTTCATTTTCTGATTCCTGAGCAGCAGCACGGGTTCTGCAGGGGACAGCTAAGCAAGCAGTCACCAAATTCCCAAGCTACAGATGCTCACCAGTTAGGTGCTGCTGGATAAAGAGATGGAAACAAGAAAGAAGCAGGCTCTTTGCCTGGGAGCAGAGGTAAAACACAGACTTCAAAAGTGATGCTGCAATATTGATGTAGAAAGAAAACAAGAATGCTCCTATCTATTTAATGGCACGTAGAAACGTTAAAATAATATTACACAAAACAGTAAAAGATATTAATCTTCATAATCTTCATATGAGAGATCTATCCTAACATGAAAACTAGCAGAGAACAGCTATGTCTTAATACCTTTTGCAGACAAGAAGTGATTGCTGAAGCAATCTCAGCTACGTCAGACCTATGGGATTCCCCACGGAAAAAACTGATTTGCTTGAAGTTCAAGAAACTCAGCTCTATGACTCAGGGTGAGGAAGGCTGTCCCCCTGTTGATTTCATGGTTCTGCATTAAGAAAGGCAAACAATGAATGGATGGGGAAATCCTGCCAGTGACCACAACGCATTGGAGTCAGCAGGCTTGGGGCCCTGCTTCCTCCCGCTGTCTCCTTGCATGGCCCAGGTCATAAGAAACAGCACAAGAGAAGAGTAGACTGATCTGGGATCTATCATCTTCTGGGCCTCAGGAAACTCCTTTCTTCCATCTCTCCATATTGTTTCTCCCTCAAAGGGCTTGCCTCATTCAGTCTCCCAGCATAGCGGCTTCACTCTGCCCAAAATAATTAATCACAGCCTTCACTACAGCCTGTTGAGGTGATTAAAATTCAACAGCTGTCAAGTTTATCAAGCTTCAGGGAGCAAATGCCCTCACTTCCCTTCCAGCTAGGAGACTGTTCTGTTCCCCACTCCAGGCTTTGTTCACCTTTATGGGCAGCAGGTCACTCACCTCCAGCAAGGCATGAGCTTATCCAGGGAAAAGCTGTGCTCTGGTTTCATGAACAGGTTTGTCCTTATAGAAACTAAATCACGCTGTGGTTTCATACAGATGTGTTTTTAAGAAGCTGAAATGATCTTTTACTTACTAGAGTTTAAGTAAATATACAATATTTAATTAAATAAACAAATGTGCGAAGGAACTTCTTTACAGTGAGGTGACGGAGCACTGGAACAGGCTGCCCAGGGAGGTGGTGGAGTCTCCTTCTCTGGAGATGTTCAAGACCTGCCTGGATGCCGACCTGTGTGACCTGCTGTAGGGAACCTGCTTTGGCAGGGGGTTGGACTCGATGATCTCTGGAGGTCCCTTCCAACCCCTACGATTCTGTGAAATACTTAATACAGTCTGTTTATTAAACCTTTGAGTCGTCCTTCTGGAAGACACTATATTTTAAAGCCCAGATTTTAACATGTAGGTGGACTCCCAAGTCCTGTTGCCATGCAGCTGGATTGAAGCTGCTCTGAGACATGCCACCAAGACCCTGGGGCACATCTCTCAGGAGAATCCGAGGGATTCAGGCTTGAAGGTGAAAGGTGGAAGAGGGAGCAAGTGAGGAAGGGGAGGCTGACGGGCAGCCCAGCAGCTGCCTATAGCTACTTGAAAAGGCAGCTGCAAAGTTAATGATGTTGAACTCCTTGTGGTAGAGCCAGACACTGTAACAAGGGGCAGCTGCCACAGGCTGCTGCTGGGAGGTGCAGGCTGAACAACAGGATAGAAAAAATTGCCTCTAGGAAGGTACTACAGCACTGGAACAGGTTGTTGGGAAGTGATTAATGATGAAATGCAGAGGTGATTCAAGGCTCAGCTGGATGAAATCATGCTAAGCCAGTCTAGAGCTGACAGTATTCAAGCACAAGTTGAATTAGAGACCTCCAGCTAATGTGTCCAACTAATATCTCTGTGATCCTGTGGTAGGCAGAGCTATCATTTGCTCCTACCCTTCCCCATCCTGACAAACACATCTGGAAAATTATAGCAATGCAATAGATGGCCAAAATTCCCTGATCTTGTATCTTCAGGGCTTTCTACAGCCCAAAGGCCATAAATACATAACTAAATAGACACCACATACCTCAAAGAGCCAAGAGGAGGGCACATTTCCAGATACAGTGTTGAGAGTCCCCTGGGGGACAGATGAGGCTCCATCAGCTCATTTCCTCCCATGAGAGAATGATGATACCCCACAGTTCACTGCAGCCACTCGGTTCCTCTGGTAATCCTGCAAAATCACTTCTCCATGAGAACTGTGCTTCCGTCTCCTGGGAGCCCCAGGTTTGTCCTCTGTGCCATACACAAACTGTGTTACTGCTTATTAATTACGCCGAGGATAATTAGCAGTTGCGTCAACAAGATTTCCAGTTTGGTGGCTGGCTCACTCTGTATGGAAATTAGATTGTTGGTTGTGTGTGGAAATACGTCAGATCAAGCTCCAGTTCATTACTAATTAGAAACAGCAGTCCCTTGCTCAGGGGTTGTGCCTTGGGTTGTCCCTGCTGGACTTGGGATGCTCCATGGATGTGGCACCGCAAGAAGAGCCAGCTGTCCACAGTGGTCCTGATCTTCATTTCACCTCTGAAGATGTCAGCTCTCGTTGCTCATTGCTCTCTGCCTCGAGGCACAAAGGATGTGATAATGCTGCGTGGTATGAGGGTGGCAGATCCTGCCACAGCGCCAGCATCATCTTCTGTTAAGAGATGGGAGCAGTGATCTGAAAAAAAGTCCTTGGAGATGCTGAAGCTGCCAAGTGAGATCTTGTTTCTGATCTTAATTATGTGTTCTGTCATTTTACATTTTTGTGACTTTCTTGCCATTACTCAAAATCCAGACTTTTAAATAAACAGATCATTCATAAATCTTGCTCAATGCTCACATCCATTGATTCCTATTTAACATTTAACTTATGGGAAGCTGATAAAACCAGTGGGCATTAAGTGCTAAAAAGCAATTACGATGTTGGTTTCAGAACTTCATTCTGTGCATTTATCAAGTTTAAGATAGGATCTATGTTTAACAGAGAATGAGCAAACAGCCTGCTATTCCATTGTGGGGCATGATGGTTTGGTTACAGCACACACAGAGCATGAGCTCACTTAAGGTAGGTACCTGTGGTAGGAGGTCAGAGTAAGACTCCTTCATTTTGACTGCCTGTGACAGAAGTTGTTGATATTTTCCAGCTGCAATTCCTGGTTTGTGACTACAACATAGTTTGTGACTACATTTCATATCCACAAAATCTGTTCACTACTGGCTATTGCTTAAAATTTGAGCCCAGAATATAACCTGAGGACCAGTGGGAAGACAAAGTTCAGACAGAGTTCAGAGAGGCTCAGTGCTGCATCACAATGTATGGATGAAGAAACTAGATAGGGCTCAATCCTCACCAGGAACATTCCTCAATTATACTTAATTCACAACAAACTGGCCCTCAACGCCAAGCTAAGAGAGGCAAACAATTGCAATAACCATCACAACAGCTCACCCTGACAAAATGGCACAGACTCCCAGATTTGTTTCCAGACCTCTGTTGATTGCTGGACAATAACTGTCTGGCTGAAGAGGTAGTCTTCATCATTGCCTGTAGAGTCAATAAAAGATTAATGAATGTTTTCTGAGCACAGCTCATAGCATCACAGAATCTTTTGAGTTGGAAGGGACCTTTAAAGGTCATCCAGCCCAACTCCCCTGCAATGGTGAATGTGGATACCCACAGCTCAGAGTGCTTAGAGCCCCATCCAGTCTGACCTTGGATATCTCCAGCTCATACCAGGCAGGTGGAATTGTACTGTGAAAATGCTTATTTCTCTCTGATGGCTACAAGGAAATAGCATGACAAGCTCTAATTTACACCTCTAAGGTTACATGAGATGAACCTCATCTTTATATATGTGACACCTATTTTTTATTACTTACCTAGCCAAAGCATAATAAAAAAGTTACCCTTTGCCAAAGTTGCTTCCTTATGGACAGACCTCAATGCAAACAGCCCCTCCTCATTAATTCTTATGACATTGGCATGTCAACACAACAGGAATTGCACAGGAACCAGGAAGCAGGAAAGTTTGCAACACTCTAGGACAACCTCTAGGAGAACACCATCTTTCCTGTGTCATCAGTAACAAGGATGTGACTTGAGAACAAAACAGGAAAATAATCCGTGTAGCAAAGAGGGAAGGATGCATGTTGTGCCACTTCAGGTTGAATATTAGGAAAAATTTGTTCTCATAAAGAGTGGTCAAGCACTGGAACAGGCTGCCCAGGGAGGTGGAGGAGTTGTCATCCCTGGAAGAGCTCAAGAAATGTGGAGATGTGGCAGTGAGGGATGTGTTTAGTGGGCATGGTGGGGTGGGTTGATGGTTGGACTACATGATCTTAGCGGTCTTTCCAACCTTAATGGTTCGTGATCCTATGCTGTTCAGTCTTCATTTTCCTAGATCTAACTATTTGATGTGGTTTGAGAAGCCTGTAGAGATTTATTTTTCTTAGCTCTTGGCATGGTTGGCTGAGTTTAGAGTAGCACTCTGCAGGTTACTCAAGTCCAAAATTGTTGTTAGCACCGGAAATCACCCAGCATGCAGGTGTGTTCATGATTGTCTAGCTGTGGGCTGGATGCAGATTTGAGGAGCTTGGGAAGTGAAGTCAGGAGCTGTTTGTGCAAGTGACTCGTGCTGCTGCGCTGAGTTAGGCCTGCTGTTAGGCCACAAACACAGTGACTCAAGAGCCAGCTAATGCTCATGGCTGACTTTGTCCTTGTGATGCAGCCTTGCCTTGTAACACTCCCCTTTCAAACCAAATACATGGCCTAAGAGGGCTGAGCAGATCCCAAGATGATGCTCCCTTTTTGTCCAGGATATCTGCTTGAGGTACCACCTCTCTGGATGTGGTCTTTACCAAAAGGATGCATAAGAAAATCCTGTGTTTTGACTCCATGGATGCAGAATTCAATGTTTATTTTCGTTTTATGCATGCATAGAACAAGCTTACTATAAATACAAACCTGTGTCCATAATAGGCAAGTGGGGAAATTTGAAATGGGTATTTCCAAGAGTATGTCAACAAGATATGGTGAGTCACAAGCTGCGGTAAGACAAACTCAGCATTTCCTTTGTTTTGTGGGTTTCTGCATTGACACAGCCTTGAAAGTGTTACACATGGGCAGCACCCATCTTTGCAAGAAGGAGAGAGGAATGGGAACACCGAAGGTTGACAGGTCTGCAGGTCTAATTTGACCAGGGTGAGAAAATGAGCCAGAACAGCAGGTAAATTCCTCAGTGGTAAATGAAGATTTTCCCCAAACATGAGCCCAGCAGGAAAATACATAAACCTGCAGGCAGCCAGACCAGACTTTACCTCACCTGGTTCTCTGATGCCTCTTCTGAGATGAAGCTGCTTCCTTAGAACACAAAATCCACAGCAAGGACTGAGTGCCAGGACCTATATCTCAGTAGGGCATATTTACAGGGGCAGAGAATAGTTAATACAGCTGATTAAACTTTGGGTGGGAGAAGCCTGTGTCCAGGCAGGCTACAATAGCATTTAACTTCCAGCCCACCAGACAGGTATAACAAGAGAATCTATGCTCTTGAAAAGCAGAAGTGTTTGCTGACACCAGAAAGGAAACCAGCTCAGCAAAACTGTGCTATGGAAGTTGCATCTAAAATCCAGACTGGTCGCCAGGAGGCAGATCTTATAATCTCATAATCACAGAATCATTAGGTTAGATTGACCACTAAGATCATCCAGTCCAACCCATCCCTACCATGCCCATTAACTATGTTCCTCAGTGCCACAGCTGCCTTTTTCTTGAACACCTCCAGAGATGGTGACTTTACCATTTCCCTGGGTAGCCTGTTCCAACACTTCAACTTGAGGGTAATAAACTTGTGGATATTGTTTAGATATTTCTGCATCTTTAGCCTTGGGAGTTGAACCATACCTTGTTGCCCTCTCTGGATCTCAGGGTCACCACAGTAGTAAAACATGGATTCACCAGCTGAGTATACAGTATCGCATCCAGGCAAAGGAAGAACAAATGCCACCACCAGCATCTGGGATTGATAAACCCTGTATCAGAAGGTTCCCAGCCTCACAGAAGAGTTATTGCTGGCAAAATGATGGGCTTGTTTGAATTGCGCAATGTCAGCACTTGTAGGCACTGTGAAGTCTGGTGATGCAAATGGCTTGGAGCATCTTGATCTAAACACTGATGTCAGACTTGCTGTGAGTAGAATTTTGGACTGTCCAGAGCTCCATTTCAACCTCAGAGTTACCATGATAATCGTTTTTCTCCTTGCCTTGGTTTTGCAAGACATGAAGTTTAGTTTCAGTTATGGATGCTGACCCCACTGGAGCAATAAAAGAGGAGGCTGATGTTGAATTTACCAACTGCATCTCTTTTTTCCCCTCCTCTTTATATTCACTCATTTATTCATCAATTCCATATCTGTTTGCAAAGAAGTCTGTATTATAAAATTATGGCCACAGAGTGCGATACAGCACCCAAATGAGGTAGGATGGAAGGAGTGAGCATGTCAAGTCCAATCTCAAATGGACTTGAGTAAGGACATCATGATAAAGCCTTACTGAGAACAAGACCAAAATACAGGAACATGCAGGTGAATCTGGAACAATCAGAAAATACCTGCTTT